AGCAAAGCATGGAGATATGGAAGATCCAAGTGATAGTRTTGTTTTTGGTCCCTCCACACAAAACAAAATAGAGAGATGGTGGAGAGAACTTTTGGAGAGGATGGAAAGGCTTTTCAAGAAGCAATTGTCTTCATTGATAGAAAATGGTGACTATGACTCTGACTAGTGATGAAATAGACAGGTAAATACATGGTTAAACATCTTGGCTTTTTTTGTCCGTACATGACTACTATTGACTTATTACACTTTAAAAACTTATATTTTTTCATGGGTTTATGAAAACTACTCTAGTATTTTTGTAGAGAATATAAATTATGACTTTTATAGGTCTTTGTTTGCCTACATCTACATACCTGTTCTGCAGAAAGAATTAGATATATTCAGGCAATCTGTGTGGAACAGTCATCGAATTAGGAAAAAAAGGAAAAAGGAACTACCTACAGTAGTCCCAGATCATATTTTCAATGGTCCAGAAGACTATGGAGGTAAAGAATGTGGCTTAAAAGTATCAGAAGAAGATCTAAGAGAAGTGGCTGAAGTGTCCRATGTRCTAAATGGAACAGATGATWATCTAAGTGAAGATTTCCGTAAGGAATGTGAAAAACATATCGCAAACACTGGCAATATAGAACCCTCAGAAGCATCTAATGCATACTTGTATCTTAAGTCACATTTCAACAAATAGTAGTTGAATTACTATGTGTTTCTATGAATAAAACTAACAAACTTCCMATCAATATATTCTCAATTTATTCTCAATGGTGCTAGATCATTTTATGCAGCTATTAGTAATTTTTACATGTTGTTGTTGAAGTCATTCTCATGCATTGTAATTGTCCAGTGTAATTGTTACTATAGAAACACATTGCTAATATCGTGTCTTTTGGACCAGTGTTTCTTCAGTATGTTTGTAATGAAATGAAATAAAAATACTTTTATGTTTATTTAATTTAAAAATTAAATAAACATAATTTTCTTTCTGTCATGCAATAGTGGCAAATACTGTAGTTGAGTATATTTCATATTTCGTCTAAGAAATTTGAAGATGCTATCTCTGGGTCATATAGATCCACACCACTCCCTTGAACGTCYGTWACCATAAGCTGACTCTCAGATTTGACATAAGAGAAGTGCGTTAGGCACTGTGCCTTCTGTGTATTTTCATCGGACGGATCGGCACAGCAAAGBCCATTGTTGTTAATGTACTTTGTAAACTTCCCATCTATATATTCTTCCACGGTAACGAAGTCTACACCGTCATTCATTTCACCAAAAAATAACTTTCTATACTGTAGAGGCTCCCCRAATTTGTCCACATCCGTAATACTGGCTTTAAGCTKTAAGGCAAAGTTCTTGGCAAGGTTATGCATTTGTACAGTTTTTTGAGTGTGCTCTTTTGGGGTAAGACCCATCTTTTCGATGTCCTCCTTTGCGCTTGGTAGATATTTCTTAATAACCCATGTTTTTCCACGAATTCAAGGTGTTTGCTTTTTACCTTGTACGTTTGGCGAAACCTCCCTTCTCCAAAAGGTTTATCCTCACCGTCTACAGGTATGAACTCTACAGTGGTAGGCACTTGGGACCATGTATTGGATTTCATGTCGAAATCATGTATTTTCACAACGCTCGTCCTCTTTGCAAGTGCATCTTCAAGTTTGCCAAGCCTGATCATTTCAACCACTGACAAACTCAATGGGTATTTCGATGGGCTTTCGGTCTTTGAACATAGCGCTTTTTGCGGTATTTCTTCTTCTTCTGGTTCTTGGGACTCGGCTTTCCTTCAAGTTTCAGGTTTATCAACTTCCTTCTCGTCGTCATCACTGTCCGCAATGTCTTCGTATGTCACTTTGCCTATAAACCGTACGTGGATAACCTTGAGATYGGGAATTTGGTCAACTGTAGTACAGGAGGGTCCTCGTTCCCCCGCAAGAACATCACACCTTAAATTGGAGCTGATCATTGGCTGGAAATACTTTTCACAAGCTTGCTTGATATCATCAAGGGTCACTTCATCGCTCGACTCGATCGGTACAAAATTCCCGCGCCCCGATTCTTGCATATTTTTGGGCTCCATCCCGACACATCAGCTGACAAACGTTGGATTGTAAGAGAATTGACTTGAAACTTCCTTTGGCTCTTAGGATTTCGTTGAGTTTTTTTATCTTTAACCGCTTGAGAATATTTAAGCCAGTCTGCACGTGCGTTCTTCTTCGACATTTTTGACACTAGAAGGGCCAAAACAAAATTTGTGCGCTGGATCATAGCATGATCACCACCCCACGAATCCGAACGCGCGCTCGCGGTAGTCGGCGCGCGCTCTTAGCAAAATGCGGATTACCTGTGGCATTGCGGCACCATGATTCCTTGCCTCGCGGGTTCAAACACTAGTCTATGCATAGGCCGCCCAACTATTGCATGACAGAAAGAAAATTATGTTTATTTAATTTAAGTATTTTTTTTTCATTTCATTACAAACATACTGAAGAAACACTGGTCCAAAAGACACGATATTAGCAATGTGTTTCTATAGTAACAATTACACTGGGACTCCAATGCATGAGAATGACTTCAACAACTACATGTANACAGCGCGCGTAGTATCCTAAATATTTTAGAACGTGAGATAAAACACGAGGCCGAAGGCCGAGTGTTTATAACCACGATAAAACACGAACTACGAGTTTTTTAAATGACTTCTAAAACCCAAACCTAAGAAACTACAATAAACATGAAATAAATAAAAAAATATCAAAAATGAATAATTGATGAAGATATCTCCATCTGAGCATGAGCAGTAATCAACTTGGTTTCCCACATCCAAGCGCCACTATGTTTTTGTGTAGTGTGACTCTGCAAATAAGTAATTTTAACTCGAGACCTAGTGAAGTTCTATGATGAGAGTCTAAAACTGAGAGCTTTTCTAGTGTTGGGCATACATCGAGTGTCTGTAAATCAGTTACAACACTGATGTTTTATGCATGAGTGTTATAACTAACTGAACCGGTTAGTTATAAAACTCATGTTTAATTAATCAGTGTTTATAACTTGAGTTATAGATCCTGTCATGTGACCCATAGTTGAATGCTCATTGGAAGAATGTCTAATGAATAATTCATGAGTTTTAGAATGTAACATACAACCCGACTGCTCATGTTGTAATCATCACATACACATGAACATGCACATGTACCTCTTTCCTCATATAGGTAATCAAAATAAAAACGGCCTATAATATTTGGATCACTGTTGGTGGTCCAGATTCTGAGAAATTGTATCCTGGCACTGGGAATGTACTGTCGTGGCCATCAAGTGACATTGTGAAATTAGGCCCCTGTACATGGGCGAAATTAAACTGTAAGTATAAATTATTTCAGAAAATAAATTTGATTTGAAACTTCAGATTGTGTGATCCTTGCTCTAAATAATGGGGGCTGCTCATTTGAAACAACAGAGCCATACCCCCTGTCAGTGTGCCCTACCCTTATTATGCAAACAGCCCTATAATCACAAAAAAAAAACAATAACAATGAAAGCAAAATCAATAATAAGGACCTGTATTTAACCTGAAAAAAGAGCCAGCTTCAACAAAAGTATAATATAAGCACGTGTTTCAACACCATCTATGTAATCAAAACTGTATAAAATATATTTAAATAAATAATATGTTAAAATATATCTTCAAGTACATACATAAAATACAACATAAATAGTGAAATTGCGAAGTAGACAGTTCCAAACATCGATAATTCTATCTCAGACGAATTAATTTTTGCGTAAATACTTACGTTTGATACAAAAGCTTTGGTTCTTTTTGGCCTTTTAGGCTTTCCTACACCTCCTCTGTYTTGTAGGCCTTGAKGGTTAACATCTTGCATGACAGTATACACAAGATTTCTCGGTACAYTAAGTCCATGTACATCTCGAATTTTCTTGTGTAGAGCTCTATACCCAAGCAGCTTCCCCGGACCTTCCATTTCTATCTTGACGGCGTCTCTAACGCTTTCCAATTCAATGTTWTAGTCTACATATTTTATGTCAAAGTGGTGAAGCCGGCGTGTAAGTGTGCGAATGCTCCACGCATATTCCGGATACCGCTTTTCTACCAAACTAAACCAAGTATTTCGTACTTGTGAAGATTCTGGCGAACATATGTAGCTAGATCATTCTTCAAAGCAATGTTTTCTTTCCATTCATCGTTCCTTATCCTTGCGGTCGCCATTTTGACAAGTAAAGAGGATAAATTAACAAAGCGCGCGCGTTGCATGATGGGCTATGGTCTTCCTGGTCTTATGGCCTCGATGTGCCATACAGGGTTTTTTTTGTTTTTTTTGTTTTTGGAGGTTTTGCAATTAAAATGAATCAAAAGCGATTGAATTAAATTGAAAAAAATTCGGATTTTTTTTTTCAAATAAGAAAGGAATCAAACTGAATTAAAAAGTTTAAAACCAGAAAATTTTTTTAATTGAAATCTATAAGAAATAATTTGAAATGAACTAAAACTTAAAAAAAGTTATAAAACGGTATTTTTTGATAAAAAATAAATGAAATAAATGAAAAACAAAACAAAACAAACCAAACCAAACCAAAAATAAAATAAAACAAAACAAACAAACAAACAAAAATAAAAATAAATTTAGTAAATTTTCATTTGTTGGTTAATTAAAGAAAGAAAAATGTAATAATAAGAAAAAATAAATAAAAAATATATATATCTAAGGAGAAAAAAAGTAAAAACAAAAACAAAACAAAACAAAACATTTTTGGCAAAAATTTAAGTAAAATAAAAATGATGTCAATATAAAAATTGAAAAATTATAAAATAGTATTAATTAAAATATGAAAAAAAGGAAAACAGAAAACAATGTTTTTTAACAGAAAAATACGAAATTCGCTATGGCCTCCATGGGCCACCATACTGGTCTTAATTTAAAGTTCCCGTTCCCAGATTTTGGTTTACGAAAAACATCATAAATATTGCTAGTGTACACAGTGTATAGCCATTTCAATAACATATTGCTTTTTATTGGTGAAACACTTTTATTCATTTTAGCTCAACACACTATTTAAGCATTGAATCTGTACGTGGGTGCACAAAAAAGTGACCTGTGTAAATTAGCTTGCAGCTGAATCTCATGAACAAGTATGCCTGCTGCGTTTTTGACTATAAAAGAGTAATAAAAAAGTCTGGATTCGCTCTTCGTTGTCCTGTTACAATGTCTCTCATATGGGAGTAATTAGAGTTAGTGATTTTATAAGGACTAATCTGTGTTGTGTTTTATTTTACGGCAGCAATTAAAATATAAAACTAGTTTTAAAAATTAGAGCCACCAGAAACCCATATGCATAAAAACTGTAGTAATTACTATACAAAACTAATATGCCTGTTCATATGCCTGATATTAAGGTCAATAAGATTTAGCATTTTATTGTGCCAATTTATGCTACTTCACAGGCAGACGAAATAGCCAATAACAAAGGAAAGACACATGGAGAAAGTCAAGAGCGTTCCTCTACATAAGTGTAATGTGAAATCAAAATTAATATATGAATCATGCACACAAAATTGGCATTCGTCGGTCCATACAAGTGCACGACTTTTAAAAATGGCTGTGGTTGTCACGACCGCCAATATCGGGGGACTAGTTACAAATCATTGGAAAGAGACCTCAAAGGCCTTCCATCTAGAAATCACTACGGAAATCGTATGTAGGTAGTGTTCAAAATGTTGAAAAATATTTTTCATCATACGGAGGCTGAACTTTGAGACATCTTAGTGCTTCGTCCCCAGTGCCATGGTCGGTAACCGTGACATATCGCGCCATTTTGAAAGTCGTGAATGGATGTGCATTATATCCATCAAAGTTTCGTATTATCCACAATACCAGGGTTATCAATCCCATTAACTTTGCGCTTCAGCTGATTCTCTTCATCGACAAACGTTTCTTTTGTTGGCGCGTTATTGGTTTCTGGGAGAGTGAAAACCAATACACACGCGATGGCAGCAACAATGGCAAAGATTGTCCATGGGATTATGATATGGACACGGATCTGAAATAAAACCATCAGGACAATTGTTGCAAGGAATGTGGTAGCATGTAAAAGCGATAAATTGCACTATTAAAGGGACATGGTCCATCAGCATTCAATGCGTTCGTGTTTTAGATTCTAGATATATTTTTAWATAAGAAATGACTGAGGTAACTTCGCCAATATCCATTCGCAATCCGTTTCCAGCTATCGGTTTAAATGTCGAATATTACAATATTTCCATTTATGTAGTAAAAAGATAATAAAGATTAAGTTTCTGCTTAAAGTACGATGTATTTTTTTTTTCTAGCATGAGCAAAACCTCGAGAGGTATGCTGGTGGACCATGTCCCTATAAATTGTGCTGATTTGTCAATGGAAAACAAATGAATCAGTTCGAAGTCATTGAACCCGTGAAACAAAACTTAATAGTCAAATATACACGCACAATACATTTAGAATTGATTTCAATGTCAATTTCTCTGTTATTTTTGGCAGACTAAATGATACCAAATATTACGGATAAAAATAAGTTTTTTTAGGATCTATGATAGACAATGCATTACTTACGAGTTCAACTACAAATGGAGCAGCAATTGAACCAATTCTTGCAGAACCAGATGACGTTCCCATAGCGACATTCCTAATTTGAAATGATAGGGTTAAAGATAGAACGGAAGAAGCATAAATGGAAAAACAATAATTAAATCAATTGAAACTAGTGTGGTGAATCGCCTTTTTGAAGATATCTGTTGTTGAAAAGGTAAAGTAGCTCTTTCACCAAATGCTTTGACGAGTRCACCAGTGCACAATTTACGGAAGTGCTAGATGCAGATGCAATAATAACAACAATGATTTTATACTTTTATGGTGCATATTCGAATGTAAATATGATCAAACGCGCTTGTAACAAATAATCTCCAGAACACAAATCATAAACGTTATAAAGTAAACAGGAATCWCTAGTGGAGAGGAGGTCAACCAGTTGGCTATATTACAACCATGGCYGAAAACCTGAATCTGAACTAATGCACACATGTCCAGGACTGGCCTATAGCGTCCCCTGTCCTCATGAGACAGTCCCAAAATCTCCAGTATACCAGTGCCTACACCATAGTTCACCAGTGTCTCTCCCTTCCACAAGTCCCCTCGGGGACCGTCTAGGGGACTAGTGTCTCTCCCATCCCCAAGTACCCATGTTGACTGTCTAGGGATATCCCCTAAGTGTCCCCTGTCCTCTGGACTACACCATAGTTCACTAGTGCCTCTCTCATCCCCATGTCCCCTCTGGGACTGTCTAGGGACATCCCCTAAGTGTCACCTGTCCTCTGGACTACAACTCAACTAATCGAAAACGGAGCTTCGATCGCCAGCAAGACTAAACCTCTGACCACTCGGCCATGCTGCTTACTAGCTATGATGTATCGCCGATGTTTCCATGACTGCTTTCCGACAAAAACTAGTACTTTAGTTTGAATATAGAAGTAATGTGCTTAAATAGCTGCTAATAAGTTCAAGCAAGCTCAAATCAGGGGCGGATCCAGGAATTTCTTCAGGGAGGGCTGCGGGTCTCTCAGGATGGGGGGGGGGGGGGGGGGG